TTCAGCAGAGTATCTGCTCTTACTGTTGGAATAAGTTGTCTCGTGATTTATGAGGAAAATTGCTAAAGCAATGTTATTTTCTTTAGCTTAATTTACTGATGTTTATATTTGTTTTGAATGTTAATTGTTAGGCACACCATAAAGGTACAGCTTCGAGCAAGAAGAAAAAGAAAGCCAAATTGCAGCGTGCTATTCGTAGCATGAAAAAACAGCAACGCCTCTCATCAGAAAGGACCACTTCAAATTATTATTCTCCTCTGAACCATTTGAAAGATCCACAGGTTTGTTAGTTTTGATGTTATCATCTCCGCTCCAGCCGATCCTAGAATTATTTGCTCATAATTGTTGGATTCAAAAATTCTGTTCTACCTGCAGGGATTTGTTGAGAAGCTGTTTTCCCGCCTCAAGGACCCAAAATCTGATCAAAAGTTTGAGGTGGACCCATTTACATTTAGCCTTTGATTGTTTCGTAGGTTTGATTTAAAAAGTTTTGGTTCAAACCTTTTTTGCTAGTGTTCTTGCTGTAGCAAATGCTGCAGCATTTATCCTCACAAAACCTGCAAATCAGAAACGACCCCTTTTGGACACACGTTAGCAGTTTTCTTCAAAATTATCACAAAAACCACACCAAATGAATCTCAGCAGAGTGCACCACATGAACCAAAAGTTGAGCAAATAAAGCAGAAAATTGACAACTAAACCTTTGGATGAGCCAACTATAAGCCTAGAAATGCCTAAAATAACTCTAATTTTTAGAGTTATCACACCCCCAAACTTAAAGTATTGCTCGTCCTTGAGCAATGACACTACAAAAACAACACAAAAACAAATGACACTAAGAGAATTCCTTTTTCAGTCAACCATGTGGGTTCAAGGTGTGTGGTTAAGTTTCTCAGAGGCTTTCTTTTCTTTTCTTTTTATTTTATTTTATTTTATTTTCTTTTGCACGCTTAAGCTTTACACCAACTCTCTTTGAATTATAAGATCGACCCATTTCCCCTTTCAATTCAAATGCTCTTCCCTAGTATGTGTGTGTGTGTAAGCGCATCAATAATGCTTCCTCCCCGATCACCCACTTCAAACTAGACCACGATCACCAAGCCTAGAAGTGTCTCCATATGTTGACCTATTGACTCCTTCTCCACTAATGAAGAATCACCTAGCACTTGGAATCAGACTTAAGACTCAACTTCTTCTCGGCTTGACACCTAATTCCCCATTCTTTTGATTTTGATTTTTATTCTTCTTTTATTTTGATTTTTATTTTTATTGAACAAACTAAACAAAATGGTGTCATTAATTAGATCTTTGTCTCAGTCGTCCTCCTCATACTAGGCTTCCTAGAATTTCGCCTCAAAGGAGTCTCTAGGTCAATTCTAGAAACCTAAGCTCTCATAGCAATCTAGCCATCAATAAGCTCTCGGGAAGAACACTTTGAATGTTGTGGAAAGAGTTGCATAGAGAATTGCATTCAAAAGTCAGGTTCTATGGGTTTTCACTTACAGCCAATTCAAGTTAATCTATCACAAAAGCATGCCTTAACTTAGCCTACCTCATCATTGAAGACCCACACACCCATCACACCACAAAAATTGACAAAAAGAGGCTCTCCCTGCACACAAAACAGCACAAAACACACCAAAAATAACAAAACACAAAAACAAGAAAAATGACCATTCTAAATAAAACAACCCAGCCTCAACACAAACAGGAAATACACCCCCCCAAACTTGAAATCAACAGTGTCCTCACTGTTGTCGACTCATGGCCAAAACAGAAACACATTGTACTCAAAACAATATAAATTGCAAGGAAATGACTCAAAACCAAATGGAAATGGTGTAAGCTTAAAGAAACTTCCCTGAGGAGTCAAAGGGCAGCAGTCATCCTCTCCACTTCCAGTTGGCAGCGCTTCTAAGAGTGGAACGTCGAGTAGATCGCTCCGGCACTTTGGCCTTTCCCTTGTTCTTGCCGGTGCCCGGGGCAACAACCTCAGCTTCTTGAGGCTCGTGGGGAATAGAACTTGAAGGGGCTGCCTCATTCACGGCCTCATTTGCAACTTCAGCTTCATCCATGGAGGGTTCACAAAGATGGTGTGGGAATTCTAGAAACGAGTGAAATCGGTTAGAATTAGCACGATAGTGCTTTTGCAGGGCCAATTCCGTCTGTTGCTTGTATTGCCAGAAATCCCTCATCATCTGAAGGGATTCGTATTGCATTACCTCTATTTGTGACACTCGCTGCTCCAAGCGAGTGAAACTGGCTGCTAAATCCGCCAAGGGCTGAGTAGACATGGTGGGCTAAGGAGCCTCCGGTGCAGGAACATCAACATCCTTCTCTACGGGTTGATTGTCTGCTTGAATCATCCGAGCAATGGTTGCCCTCGTGATTGGACCGTGGGGCTTAAATTTTGTTTCGTTAGGGGCAACCACAACCCCTTGCTCCACGCACAACTTGGTAATGAGCGATGGGAACCAAAGACCCCCTCGGCGACGACTCGCGCAAATCGCAATTTGCCCTCAAATTAGGGGTCCAATGTTTATGCCCCTCCCCTCGACAATGGAGAACAATAAGATTGCCCTGTCCTTGGCAACTGTGTGATCATGGGAGGAGTGCATAATCCGCAATTTAAGGAAATGATACCATATTTTGGTGCCGGGCTTTAAAAATCGCCTAGGGAATGTCATGGCACCCTGATCTGATCGGGTCCAAGTTGCTCCATCTTCACAAAGAATTGTCAAAAGCTCATCGAGCTGCTCGATGTTTTGCAGATTGTACAGTTTGTTGATGGTGTTCCCATCAATAGCAACTCGTTTTCCCCTGACATACACAAAATCGGACTCATTATCATCGAAGTTGGCGTAGAACTCCCTAACTAGAGGCACCACTGCTGCTGGAGGATGTTGACAAAAGGCTTCCCATCCGTTCTTTTTAATAACGGAATATATATATTCCGGATAGCCCAATGTGTGGTTCCTTTGGTAAAGGAATGCCTTTTCTGAGCTGAGAGCTCGTTGGCAGGTGATTTGAGCATAGTGTTCCTCGGCTAAATCAGAAACAAACTTTGCTATGCTCTCCTTAGTGTTGGGTTCTTGTTGACGCTGCTCATTCTCAATCTGTTATTGTGTTCCTTGCTCATTTTAAACCTGCTTTGTTTTTCCTTTTCTAGCCCTACTTTTTATTGGCATTGTGAACGACTGAATCGATTGAAACTCACAGGGGGTAAACCGGGCTGCCTATTGTTGATGCACAATCCACCCCACTCAACCCTAAAACTTTGTTAACGCACTAACTACACCCAGATATTAGAGACTATCCCAGCCGGATGCATTTATCAACATTAAGAGCCCGTTTGGTTGGAGGATTCGTTCTCTGATTCGAATCATGGTTCATGGTTCGCTATAGTATTTTATCTCACAAAAAACACACGTAAATCGAAAATGGTTCTAAGCTCACGGTTCTAATCCATGAACCAAACGGGCTTTAAGTGTAAGAGGAAAGGATTTGCAAACCTCAACTGAGACTCCCTGATCCAAAATGGGTATTCTCTATTTTAGCATGAAATGATGGTAAAAGAGGCGGTGCAAGCTTGGCGGCGACTGGACGCACGGATGGGCGCAGACTCGGCGGCGGAGGTAGGGTTCACGATGGAATGGTGTGGTGAAATATGGGTGTGATGATGACGGTGTGGGAGAGAAGGATTTGAGATGGCTGGTTTGAGGTAGAGGGCGATTGGGGAAGATGAGCATGGGCGTGAGGATGGTGGCTGATTTGGTGTGGAGATTTTGGGGAAATGAATGAGGGAAAAAAATGGGGAAAGAGGAGTTAGGGTTCTTTAGTTTGTGACTGTGCGCGTGGGGATCAACTCATTCACATCATTCGCTTCATTCGCTACCACAGTCACTCCTCCCTTCTTGGGTACACATTGCACTAGATTAACCCACTGACTATCAAATATAGGATAAATAATCCCTGCATCCAACCATTTAATGACTTATTTTTTCACAACTTCTTTCATGATTGGATTTAGTCTTCTTTGATGTTCCACGGAATTGCTGTAGCATTCTTGCAGCAAAAGTTTGTGCATGCATATGGATGGACTGATTCCCTTGATATCTGCAATTGTCCATCCTATTGCTTTTTTAAACTTCCTCAGCAGCTCAAGCAACTTATGTTCCTGGTCTTCAGTTAACTCGGCTGAAACAATAACCGGTAGCGTTTCTGCTTCTCCCAAGAACACGCATACCGGAGGTGGGATGGCAAAAGTTTCAACTCTAAGACTGGGGGTTCTTCTATAGATGGCTTAGGTGGTTTGAGCTCACGTTCGGATAGCCCCAAAGGCTCAAACTGTTTTCCTCTAGCTATACCAGTTGTCCCTGATTCCAGCCAAGCCATTTGGCTACTCAATTCTGAAGTTTCTTCTTCCAACTCTTGCTCCAGCTCCTTAAAAGCACTAGTATCCATTACATTCACCAAAGAGCATTCTTCCACTTCATTAAGAAATCTCATTGCCTTGAGAACATCAAAAGTGACCTGCTCATCATTGACTCTCATTGTCAACTCCCTTTTTTGTACATCTATTAATGTCCTTCTTGTAGCTAGGAATGGTCTCCTTAAAATAATAGACTCCTCCCTGTCAGCTTCATAATCTAAAATAATAAAAACAACGGGGAAGATGAACTCGTCTACTTTCACCAGGACATCTTCAAATTTTCTTTCTGGATGAGCTAGAGATCGATCAACCAATTGAAGAGTCACTGTGGTTGGCCATGCTTCCCCGATTCCAAGCTTCTTGAAAACTGACATAGGCATAAGATTTATGCTTGCTCCTAAATCACAAAGAGCCTTGCCAAAGTAGTTATTGTCAATTGCACATGGATGGTGAAAACTCCCAGGATCTTTTAACTTTGAAGGGATTTTACTCTGCAAGATGGCGCTGCTTTCTTCCGTCATTGCCACTGTTTCGAATTCCCCAAGTCTTCTTTTCTTCGAAAGAATGTCCTTCATGAATTTCACATAACTAGGCATTTGCTCAAGCGCCTCCACCAATGGAATGTTAATATGGAGCTGCTTCAAGACATCTAGAAACCTTTTAAACTGCTTATCTTGTTGCTGCTTTTGAAATCTTTGAGGAAAAGGTGGCGTTGGTTTGTCATTTTGCTTTTCTGCCAAACTTTGCTGCAGCGTTGCTGCAGGTTCTGCAGCATCGCTTCGTTTTCCAGATTCTTCCACTTATGCTTCCTTTTCCACTTCACCTTGGATTGAAGAGGGCTCTTCTCGGTGATTAGGCTGTCTAGACACTTGCTCTAATTCTCTCCCATTCCTCAGCGTAATAGCCTTGCAATGCTCTTTGCCTTTACGCCTAGGATCTTCAGTATTACTTGGGAGTGCGCCTGGAGGACGACTAGTCAAGGCATTAGCTAATTGGCCCATTTGATTCTCCAAGTTCCTCAATGAAGCTGCTTGGTTCTGAATCAGTGCCGACTGATTTTGAATAATGGCATCATTCTTTGCCATGTACTCCTTCAACAAGTGCTCAATCGATGAGTGTTGTTCTGCCGGTTGATGTCTCGGCTGTTGTGGAAATCCAAGAGGATGTTGAGGGCGGTTTGTTGTTGATGAAGATGCTGCGTTCTGCCCTTGAGAGTTCCAAGAAAAATTTGGGTGCTGCCTCTAACCTGGGTTATAAGTATTGGAATACGGATTGTTATTTTTGTTGAAGTTACCCACATAATATGCTGATTCCGGGTTGGATGGACAACTATCAAAGAGATGCCCTTCACCACAGTACGTACTAGAGACCGCTGTAAACTGAGGAGAATTCACCCCCTGATTCATTGATTTCAAGATACTTGCCAAGGATGATACTTGAGCGGTTAAAGCTGTCACCGCATCCACTTCATGAACTCCTGCTACTTTCCTAGCTGCAGCTGCTCTCTCCGCAGGCCATTGATAGTTGTTATTAGCCATCCGTTCCAAAATCTCATAAGCCTCATTGTAAGTCTTTGCCAAAATAGCACCATTGGCTGAAGCATCTACTATGGTTCGAGTTTGCCCATTAAGTCCATTGTAGAACGTCTCCATCTGAATCCAATGAGGAATCCCATGGTGAGGGCATTTGCGCAACAATTCCTTAAACCTCTCCCATGCCTCATACAAAGATTCCCCCTCATGTTGCTGAAATCCGGTGATGTCATTTCTAAGCGTGGCATTCTTAATTGGAGGAAAATACTCATCAGAAACTTCTCTACCAAGTCATTCCAAGTTGCCACAGAGTCCGGTGGTAGAGAGTTTAAGCATGCCCTAGCTCTATCCCTCAAGGAATAAGGGAAGAGCTTCAGTCTCAAAGCTTCTTTTGTAACCCCTAGAAGCTTAAAAGTATCACAGACTTCCATGAATAGCCTGAGATGCAAGTGAGGATCTTTAGTTGCCATGTCACTGAATTGGCCCACTGTTTGCAACATTTGAAACATGACCGGTTTAAGCTCAAACTGAGGCGCCTGTATCTCCGGCCCAATGATGCTCTGATTGAGCTCATGTAAAATCGATACGGCATATTCTCTGACGGCCCTATCCTTGTCATCTGCTGTGGCTGCCTGGTTAACTGGATTGTTAACATTTACGGGCTGCCCAAGGTTGGCTGCATTGCCGACAGATTCCTCTGCCATTCCTTCAACAACCGCTAAACCTTGCTGCTCCCTTCTCCTTGCTAGGAACGTTCTTTCAATTTCTGGATCCAAGGGCAGCAAATCACGGTCTTGTTGTCGATTCATGCGAGAAGAAGAATATATGAAATAGAAGGAAACAAAATTGTCAAGTAAAATAACGAAAACACTTGAATTTTACAAAGATCAATTATGATAATAGTCCCCGGCAACGGCGCCAAAAACTTGTTAGTGTAAAATTAACTACGCAAGTGCACGTGCCGAACAAGTAATTAAGTGAATGAGTAGAGTATCGTTCCCACGGAGAAAGTTATCAATATTTTTCCTAATAAAATCTAAGAGATGCAATGTAAACAAATTTAATGGTTTGATTCAACTACAAAGAGTAAAAGAATTGCAGTAAACAAAAGTAAATAAATGCACACTCAGTAATCAAAGGTGAAAATCAATCTATGTGAAGGACTATGACTCAATTTTCCCTTCACTGCAACCTGGGCTATTTATGTTACGACTTTTGCTACTGCAATGCTATCAGTTAACCTGAAACATGAATTTAACACAAGAATCTCCCAATCCACTTATGATTTCGCCTCTTTACTCACATTTCAACATATTCCTATGAGAAATCTAAACAGAGAGGTTAAGTTAAGCATAGGTTTCAATTGGGCTATGTGAGACAAGTGTATATTCCTATACTACTCGCAAATCAACTAGATTTCTTTGTGAAATTTAGCTAAACAACACACTGTTCAATATTGGTCTAATTCCAATCAACTTTCCAGCAAATTGAACTCACAATATTTTGTTTGAGATGGCCAGTCAGTAAATAAAAAGGAACGATAACGATTATATTGAACAAACTAGATCAACATTAATATAGCAAAAGTTAGCATACACAACGTTAATTACAGATCCGGGTACTTTATCATCCCAGCCAAGTTAATTTAGCTCATACTTGTTCTGTTAATTTCAACAAAATGAACAGCCATGATTTGATTACAGAGGAGGAAAGATAAACCAAAATGAGAAGAACAACAGTAAAGACAAGATGAAGCTTGGTGGTCTCCTCTCGTGGCTTCACTCCTTGAGATTTCCAGCTCCAAATTCGTCTCCTCTGTACTTGTCTTCTTTCTTTCTCTCTGGTTTTCTTTTTGCTCCCCCCCCCCCCCCCCCTTTGTTGAGAATTTAGGTGCATTCCTCTTTAGGGCAACCCAAGACGCTGAGGTGACTCCTACTCAGAGGTTAGGTCCAGCTGACTAAGCACCAAATCCGTCTTATGCGCTCTTTGTCCTAATTCTCGTGCAAAGTTATGCGGTCATCCACTAACTGCATGTTGTCATATTTTTGCTGTAGCAAATGTTGCAGCATTTATCCTCACAAAACCTGCAAATAAGAAACGACCCCTTTTGGACACACGTTAGCAGTTTTCTTCAAAATTATCACAAAAACCGCACAAATGAATCTCAGCAGAGTGCACCACATGAACCAAAAGTTGAGCAAATAAAGCAGAAAATTAACAACTAAACCTTTGGATGAGCCAACTATAAGCTTAGAAATGCCGAAAATAACTCTAATTCCTAGAGTTATCAATTCTCTATCACTATAAGTTTAAACCAATTTGAATTTCTGTTCAAATCTATGAACCAAACGGGCCATTAATAATTTAATCTTAGGATTGCGTAAGAGCTTAAAAGTGTTCGTGTCTTTTATTTTTTCGATTGGTATTCATGATATGACGTTAGCTTATTTTGTTATTTGTAATCTTGCCTATAGGTAAACTCTGAATCTTGTAGTAAGAGGTGGACTGCATGGTTTTGTTTCCACAATATTCGCATCTTTCTCTTATGAACTATTGCTGAAAATTGGATTTCTAATGTTATCCTTAACCTGTTTGAAGTTCAGGTCAGGATGATGATGTTGAAAGTAATTGCTCGAACAGTTGGCCTTCACCGTCTACTATTACTTAACTTTTATCCCTATCTGCAGAAATATGTTCAGGTATTTATTTTATTTAGCTGCTGCATTAAAGTATTGTTCTCTTGATGATGGAATTACGACTGATTGATTTACACAGCCTCATCAACGCGATGTCACGAATTTACTTGCTGCTGCAGTTCAGGCCTGCCATGATATGGTATACCTGGCTCTTCTGCCATGATATGTTCAAATTTTCTTCCTGTTGTACCAAATTTCAGTTCGCTTTACTACTACTCTAGCTACCATAAGAGAGGATATATTGCATGCAGGTGCCTCCTGATGCAGTGGAGCCGTTATTTAAACAAATAGTTAATCAGTTTGTACATGATCGTTCACGTCCAGAGGTATGAATCAAGAGCTTTTATCTTTTATTTCTTCTTACTTACCATTCTTTATGTCTTTAATTGCTTTGATTTTCACCAGGCCATTGCCGTTGGACTCAATGTAATTAGGGAAATATGCCTTCGCATGCCTTTGGTAACTACCTGTTACTCATATTAATTTGGTTCATGAATTCTATATTATTTGGTCGATTAGAATTGTCCAGTGCTGTTCTTTTTACATACAAGGACGTATTTTCATCTATCATATTCTCTCTCTGTAAAGGTCATTTATTTTTTACTTGTACAGCTCAATTTTTTACCGTCTTAAATAATTGTTCTGTTTTAATCCTCACAATTAGTTGATGTCGGAAGAATTGCTGCAAGATCTTGCGTTATATAAGAAATCTCACGAGAAGGCAGTTTCAATAGCAGCACGTTCACTTATTGGCTTATTTAGAGAGGTCTGTCTCTCTCCTCTCACTCTCCTCTGCCCTTTTTTGGTTTATTTATTTATTTTCCTCAGTTGGCTTTTGAGGTCTGTCTTTCTCCTTTCTACTTATGAATTCATCTCACTCTGTCTGTCTCTCTCTCTCGGGTTAAACCACGGGTATAACCTTGGACCTAGAAGATCCTAGTAGCAGGCGTTATGCGACTTCAGTCCCAAGTGGGACTGCTCTACCAATATTTAAATCTTAATGATGCTGAACTTTGTTGATGTGCAGATTTGCCCTTCACTTCTGGTTAAGAAAGACCGTGGGCGCCCTACTGATCCAAAAGCAAGGCCGAAAGCATATGGAGAAGTCAATGTGCTCAGCAATGTTCCTGGGGTTGAATTGTTAGATCAAGATGTTGAGGATAGTGACGATATGGATGAGCCTGCATCCAGCGACTCTAATGATGATCATGGACATGAGTTGGTTGCTTCCAGTGAGGATGAAGACGATCAGAAATCTCCTCATGATTCTGGAAGTGAAGATGATGATGTCAGAGATGATTTAGTTGCTGAAGGTGAAGATGGTGACAATAGTATAGATGACTCTGATAGTGATATCAGCATTGATGATGATGACGATGAGGATGAGGAAGCTGAGGAATCTGATCAGGGGGTAGAGGATTCTAGCGAGGAGGAGTTGTTAGAGGAATTTGGTGAGGACGATGAAATGGAACAAACTGAGGATAGAGAAACCAAGGATGGTGAAAGTAGTCTGAAGGATTCTAAAGCGAGGAAGAGAAAACTGTCTGATTTTGATAGACAACTTGTTGCTGCTGATTCAAGTCTTCGGGCTTTGAAGAAATTGGCTGGAGCAACATTAGCGACTACATCATCTGACTCAACGGATGGTATTCTTTCTAATGAGGACTTCCGAAAGATCAAAGAAATGAAGGTATGCCCTTTTTTTTTCCTCGCGTTCTTTCTCTGTCCCTCATATTTTTGTTTTGGTGTTCTTCCCCCCCCTTTTTCCCCTTTGGAAAGAGGGCACCGTAGGTTATATAGGAAGTTTCAGATTCATGTATAAATTGACTCCAAATTTTAGCATCTTGCTCACGTCTCTCACACTATTATATAGGAAGTTTAAGATTCATGTATAAATTGACTACAAAGTTTAGTATCTTGCTCACGTCTCTCACACTATTATTGTCCATGTCTGTAAATATTGGTTGCCCCTCTTCTTGTGTGCCACTGAACCATATATCCTCATTGTTGGATTCTTCTTTGGTTAGGCAAAGAAGGACGCAAAACTTGCCTTGGCTCAGCATGGTTTGTTAAGAAAGGGCTCAGATGCGAAGTCATCAACTTTCAGTGTTCCTAGTTCCGACCAACTTAGTACCAAGCGAGTGGATCCGACTAAGCTTGAAGTAAGTTCTCTAACTTTTTACTCTCCATTTGAACTTTAAGCTTGTTCATGTGGCTTTTAGTAATGTGTATCAATCAACAATACATGGCTCAGGATCATGATTGCCTTTACATCCACTGAATTTGTACTAGTCCTTAGTTTGAATATCATTTGTTGCTCTTTTTTTATTTTTATATTTTTTTTTACTTTTATCAATGCTGGAGTAGGCCTTTTTCATCACGTGTTCTTGCCTTTTTTTCAACCTCATTTAATTGTCCAAGCATAATTTTCCTTTTAATTACTTTTTTTTTCTGTTCTTTTTTTCGTTCTAAGATAGAATAAAGAGAGAAAAAATTAACATGTTTACTAGAGTGAAGGTGCTTAATTGGCTGCTTGTTTATGGTAAGTTAAGTACTCACAATCTCATGCAGCGTAGAAGTACTTGTATGTCTGTCTCCAGGCTGGTGTTGTCTCCGTAACTATGATCCTCTCGTTTTGTATTGCTCATTTGCATGAGAATTGTGGTTGAGAGTTATGCAAGAGTTTCAATGGAGTTGGGTGGCTTCTTTGAGATGTGCCGACTTGTTTATATCCTCTTATCTCTTTGTTTTCAACAAGAGTAGGAAGATCTGGAATGCTGCTATACTGGGGTTGTGCTGGGCATGTTAGAGAGGATTTTTGAAGACTTGGAGGGAAGTATTAACGAAGTATGGGACAGAGTGAAATTGTGGGTTGCAATTTAGTTGCATGAAGATAAAGGCTTTAGTCATATGCAGCTTTTAGATTTGGTTAGGCAATGGAAATTGTTAATGCAGTTTATTTTATTTCTGACATTGTTTTCTCACCTTTTTTTTTCTCCATTTTTATGATTATTTTATCCAGGACTTCCTGTCCTTCTTGCTTTCTACTTCATTGTTCTGTTTTAATGAAGTGATTTCTTTTCAAAAAATAAAAATAAAAAATTAACATGTTTATTGAAGGATTTTTTATTTTTTATTTTTTAAACATGGAAGGAAGTTGTCAAATGCTTTCTTTTCATTTTTCTATTTGACATTTTTATGCTTAACTGACCTTTGAAAGGCCGGTTTTCTATTGAAAGGAGTTTTTAATTGTGGAAATCATATGTTGATCCAATTGGCTATTGATTGTGTGCTGCATAGGCTCATGTACGGAAAAAGCTAAGTAAGGAAGAGAGATTGGCTTTAGTTAGGGCTGGAAGAGAGGACAGAGGGAAGTACCAGGCTCGAGCTGCAGTGAAACAAAAGAAGGTATACTTTCATAGTTATCATCTCCTTCTTGGTCAATCTTAGTAAAAAAAAAAAATCTCCTGCTTGGTGAAATTATAACCTTTTCCATTTTGTGCTCGCATCTCTTTGTTCGTGTGGTTTGAACATCGGAAACATGACAAACTATGGTCATGATTTAACTTTTCAGTTTTGGTTGTAAGGGAATAGTTGCATTGGGTTTAAAGTCTGATGCCCAAAGTACCAAGTACTTGGCATACATCACTCAGAAAGTCCTAGCTCTGTCTTAGGATGTTTTATTTCTTCATTTTTTCGGTTACCTGTATGTTCAGCTTTTTAAGGCCTTCTTCCTATGCTGAGAAATCAATAACTTAGCAAAGCATTGCCAATGGCAACCGTTTTGCTTTAGTATCTTGGATCGTACGATGCATAAAGCTCAATGCTTTTCTGATCAGAGAAAAGTGAAAAAATATAAACTCCGGAGTGTGGGCTCCTTAAATCAGTGATGCAGTTGGTTTATTTATTTATTTATTTATTTTTTGGGTGTGATTGGACAGACGGGAGGTTTGAGCAATCGACAGAAGGAACATAAGAAGGCTCTTCCTCTTGCTGCAAAGAGAGCAAAGGTGGCAAAATCGCGAATGGAGAAAAAGAAAAAACAACAGCGTTCTGGCAAACAGTTCCGGGGAAAGAAAGCATGGAAATAAATCACCAACTTACGTGATATTTCTTCTTTATTGTCATCATTATTATTTATTAAATTTAGAAGTAAACTAATATGCAGTAACTTCTCCTCACATGTACAAAAGCGGATTCATTTCACAATGAACTTCATCACAATGTACTGTTCAAAATTTTGGTTAAGTATTGCTAAAGTATTTATTCTTTCAGTGCTCTCCTCTTCAATGTTGTTCGTTTGTTAGATGATTCTACTTACTCCCTCTCTTCCTATCTCTCGTGTCTCGCCTTTTCTTGTTTAGTTCTCAATAGAAAGTCTCTTTCTGCAAAGATTTTGTAGTGGTTTGGGTTTGGTCTATCCATGCTGCTGGCCCTTCTGTTGTTCAGACGAAATTAATCAGCTGGAAAATGAAGACATCATTCAAATCCTGCCACCCTTATCCTGTCTCTAAGAGTTTTTGTCAACTGCTTTTGGATCCACACGTGGCTTCCAGTTACCTGCTATTCAGTTTGAGGTTTCTCCCATTTGTACCAAACCTTTTTTATTTGGGATCTTTGCACCAGAGGTCCCCAAACTTGGTCCTCATTTTAAGAATTTAGATACTTAGGTCCCCAAAAAATATGTTCTTGGGAACCTAAGGTATAAAAATGCCTAAAAATATGTTACATCTAATGGCATTTAACGGAACAAATGTAAGTGGGGAACTAACGGTGCAAATAGAATCAGAGTTTGGGATCCAAGTGTCCAAATTCTTAAAATGGGGACCCAAGTGTCAAAGATCACAAAGTTTGGTGACCTCTGGCGCAAATATCCCTTTTTTATATTTCATCAACATTAGGAGTGTGCTTGGTGTGAAGTTTGACAGAAGAATAAACTATGGGCATGATTACTTTGCATAAAAGGGAAATGGAAAGTAAGTAGGGATTTTCTTTCCTTTTTAATAATGTATTTACTTACAAATTAGTAATGAAGATTTAGTAGGTCTTACACTATATATAGCATTGATTCATTGTCAAAGTGAAAGATAATGAATTACTCTATAGTTAATAATTATTTAATTGTTACTTTTTAGTGATTATATTGATAATATTGTTGTTCTTAATTTTAGTAAACATTAGAAAAAGAGCAAAATTGTTTCACATTACACCATCTAACAGTTAAATAAACACTTAAAAGAGAATTAATAATTCTTACTTATTACTTTACTTTACTTTTTAATCTTATTATCTTTTCCATTACATCTTTTACGGTTTGGTAAACGCGCCTTATATATAGTATTTTGCTAAAATGCTACCTTTCTTTTATCAGTTTTCATATGTTTATTTATTCGTCTGTTTGTTGTTTCCTTTTTAATAGAGTTTCTATACTTTAACCTCAACCACTTTGGTTTTGAAAATGTGATATTGTTGGAGCAAATACTAAGGGCCCGTTTGTTTGCGTTTTCGTTTTCGTTTTTCACGGTTTTCAAAGCAAAAAAATGAAAACGGGTGTTAAAAACGTGTTTGGTGCAATTTTTTTTAAAAAACAAAACCAAAAACGTTTTTGTCTTTTTGTGGAAATCAGAAAACGAAAAAAAGGTGTTTTCATTTTCTTGTTTTCGTTTTCTGTTTTCTGAAAAACGGATTTCACTTTTTTTTTTTCTTTTTCATTTTCTTCCATCTGAAACCGTTTTTGTATTATATATGTTTAATTAATATATTTATTTAATATATTATTATTTAATATATTTAATAATATTATTTATATAATATATTTAATAATATTATTTATTTAATATATTTAATATATTATTTATTTAATATATTTAATAATATTATTTATTTAATATATTATTACATGTTTTCAAAAATTAAACCACCAAACGCAGTTTCAGTTTTTTTTAAAACTGAAATCAATCTCTAAATAAAACTACCAAACGCATTTTTAGAAATAATTCAAAAATGAAACTAAAAACGTTTTCATTTTCATTTTCATACAGAAAATAAAAACGTTTTGGAACCAATTCCAAACGCACCCTAAGGTTTTACAAAATTGTAGCTCGTGTTGCTTGGAGCATTGCTTTGAATTTAATTATTAACTTGGTTTTGTACTGTAGAGAAGACTTGACCGTTACTATTTCATCTGCAAATCCCACTAGTAGGTAAATTTTTGCCTAAAGCTGCTCCTTTTTTCTAGGCTGTTCATGGGTTGGATTGGTGTAGGATAGGGCTTTTTCTTCCCCCGCCCCAAAAGATGCGGGTTGCACATATTTGGCTCTAACGATATTAGAAAAAGTTGACAACCCAATGATGTTTGGGTTGGGTTAGGGTGGTGCGAGGTGGGTTGGGTGGTCAGTTTCAACATTTAAAGAATCAAAGACTCAAAGTTCAATCCAACATCAAACATGAAGCAAAGTAGTCCATCTAACATCAAACATAAAGCAAATATAAATTAGTCTACACTCATAAATTAGTCTTAACATAAAACAAACATAGATGCTTAATTCAAAGATGAAGAAACTATAGAGTAGAAATGAGTTGCCTGCCTAGGGTTAGATATTAGAGGATGCAAGTTAGAGCGTGGGTTGGGTTGAGGTGTGCGGGCCATTATAGGCCCAACCCACACCCCGTCCCAAAACTTCGGGCTAGACATTGAATGGGCCGCAAAAAAATATATTTAATACTAGAAATTGCATTTTTCGGGTTGGGTTAGGGTGAGGTGGGTTGGGCCTGCGGGTTTATGAACAACCCTACTTTTTTCTTTTATTTCTCTTTTTTTAAAGAATATTTTCTCCTGTACTCTTAAACTTTACAGTCTTTTCCCTTTGACCCTCGAATTCTAATGTAATCTCATTTAACTCCTTTTTGTTAAAATATATGTTAAAAATAGACAAGAAAAAAGGGAGAATATTGCGGTCATATGGTCTTTCAATTCGAAATTCTATTAAAAACAAATGGAAAAAGATCACGTGACAATATTGAATATCCTCTTTTTTTTTATTTGTTTTTAACAGAAATTATAAGGTGTTAAGTGGATTAATTCTCAATTTATGATGCAAATTAAAAGTTTTTAAAGTTTATGGGTCAACTGAACATGACCCTAAGCTCACAGGGCACAAGTAAGGTTGTTTATTTTTTAATGGAAATATCTTCTTTTTTTATTTTTTTTTATTAAGAAACAAAAGCAAAACTTGTGTTCAGAATGTATTTGTAGTTTGAAATATCACTTTGTAGTTCTTCCTCAAAGCATATGTATAGTTGCTTGAAAAACAAAGAAGGATAACAGAACATGAGCTGGAAGGAATTATTATATATGCAAAATGAGTCAACATTAGGCATGCCAATATTTTTTAATCGTTGAATCTAGATCTTATTTCAGTCCACTCAGTTGATATAAACATTGTTTTCATAAAAGTTCAACATCTTTTGCTAAGACATTGATTTAGACCATCTCTGTGTAAAATCAATGCTATTGGCACTAAAAAAATTATATATATTAATATAATATTATTCCAAATGTTATATCTCACTTTTGTTATAATTTTTAAGTTTTGAAAGTTATAAAAATAAATTTTTAATTTTGAAATAATTTGAATCTCGTTGTAATAATGATTAGAATAAAATGTCAATGCATAGACAAATAGCACTCCGTTGTTACATCTCCCTTTTATTGGTTGCCTCTCCAACTAATTTACCATCTTATATAAATTTAAGAATCTAATCACATAATCAATACTAAATACTAAGAACAACTAAAATAAATTATCAAACTTTAATAGAGAGATAATCAATAAGATAGAAAAATGGAACAATAAATTTAACCTCACGAAGTTCTATAGAACTGTTTTTATTTTTATTAGAATCCTACATTAGCCGGAAATATTAACATGATCTACTTAATAAGTTGAGGACAATATTCTCTTAATAAGCTCGTTTTGTTAAGTTGAGTTAGACCCAATATCCTTTGATTCTGTAAGATAGAAAAATGAGACAACAAATTTAACCTCACGAAGTCCGATAGAACTTTTTTTATTTTCTAATTTGAACACAATAAATCAACACACAACAACATTTGATTATGAATATGAGATCTGATATTAAGAGATGTATATACCATTGTCTATGCCTATAAGAGAAGCAATGACCAAAACATATTCAATCGAAGATTGTGAAATCTATGTCGCTTTAGCTAATTGTAGCTTATTTGACTAGTATTAGTATCCACAAGCTTGAATGATGATCATAGCTAAAAACTATGTATATAATGCAAGTCTAATTATTTAATTTAAGATTAGAAAAAAACCAACAGAAAACGTTAAACATTTATATACCGGAGTATCTATATATGGCATGTGATCATATCAAACTTATTCAACGATAAGAATTTCATAAGAACATATACATCTTAGCGCTTATGCAAAGTTATATGAGCACCATATTGTGGTTGGAGAGTTATAACGGTACAAGGAGCATGAGCATAGGAGGGTGAAAGCTCAAACGTGAAGCGCTGTAGAATCAATGCCAATGCCATTTTGGCTTCAATCATGGCAAAGTTTTGTCCAATGCAAATCCGAGGCCCCCAACCAAAGGGAAAGAACGAAACTTGACCTTTCGTCGCCTTCGAAACTCCTTCTGCAAATCTCTCGGGTTTGAACTCCTTTGCGTCTTCCCCCCACAGATTAGTGTCACGATGAACAAGTATGACGGGAAGAGAGATCTGCACTCCTGGTGGCAACGACAAGTTTCCTAGCTGTGTTTGCTTCTGAACCGTCCGAGTAAGTAAAATTACTGGTGGATAAAACCTTAGAACTTCGTACAAAATCATTGTGACCTGCATTAATGATGGAAGAAAGTATAATACGTGTTATTTGGTTCATCTTCTTAAGTTTTCAAAAATTTCACAATATGATATGTTCTTCTAGGAAAGTAAATTAGTAGAATGTGCTTTCTAAACATGATGCTATTTTATACTTTTCGTGAAATTAGTGTCATTCTAGTGCAAGTAAAAAAAAAAAAAAAAAAAACTAAATAAGTTGCATTAATCTATGAAGAGTATCAACAGTCCACTCGATTTTCATTTTATTTTAGCATTTTCTATCATGAAGGTTCAGCTGCAAAATTAATTAAAGAGAAAAGTTAGCTGATAGTTAATAGTAGTAGTAAGCAACTAGAGTTATTTTTAATATTTCCCTTTTGAGTTATTAATTTTTTTTTTCTTTTTGTTGTTTGTTTATCTTTGGGCCGGAGTATCCTTTATTTGTACTTTTTTTTTTTTTTTTGGTTATTGATATTTAATAATTAGAGCAAAGAATTGGATATAAGATGGGTACTCTATTAGTGGGTGCCAATTTAGCTGTGATATTATGATTGATCATATACCAATTATCTTTTCTTATCCTATAATAAAAAAAGCAGTAAAGACAAAAAAATACTTACAATTTTTAGGTGGCCTAGCCCATCAAAATCTGGATTGTTATAACCAAAGACTTGTAAAACCTCTTCTCTTGCACGAGCTTGCCAATCAGGATATCTACTTAATAACACCATTGTCCAAACAAGCAACACTGAGGTGGTCTCTTGGCCAGCAAAGTAAAACAACTTGCATTCCTCAATTACATCTCTAATACTAATTCCCATATTCTTGTTGTTCCCATGTTCCTGAATTTCTTTAAAATTTGATTCCATAAGTATCCCTAACAAGTCATCATTTGGTGCTTCACCTGCTCTCATTGCCTTCTCTCTTTTATGAATTATATCCTTTAATAAACCTTGTACTTCATGATCGACTTCTTTCATCCTCTTGTTCAACGTCGTTGGAGCAAATCTGCACACACCAATATGTTTATCATATTTGGCACAGGCACGTTTTTATGAAATGATATGTTGCTTGAAATTAATGCTTAATTAATATTCTCAAAAGATGGTATATGTATGAGAAATGAAGAGAGCTGAACATTTGAGAAGTGCGTTATAAATGTAAAAAAAAAAGTATATATATATATATATATTTCATGTCTCGATTCAATTATACTTGATGAATACCAGTCCTTTAAACGTGGCACTAATTAATTAACTAATTAGTATTTCACCTCCATCCAGGAACATAAACAGTCTGTATGGCTTTAATCGCTAGTTCTGCTTGTTCTCTCTGGAGCTGAAATATTCTTCTGCCTTCTTCATAACTACTCCCAAATGCTGTTCTAGAAATCACATCACCGGTCATATTTTGAAGATAAGGCCACACATCTATCTCGCAGCTTCCCTCATTATTTAAGAAACTCTCCCATTTTTTCAGCATCTCATTGCAGCTTAGATAAAATGCCGGTAGCATATGCTACAAAAAAACAAAACAAAACAAAAAGTGAAACGTTAGAATCACACGTGTACACACACACATATCTACTCTCTTTATGAAAACTACAGTTATAATTTAAATGCTGTTGATCTATTTCTCTTTCTTTCGTGTTCTGTCATGTATATTGTTGTTTTGGAAATTCTATAGATATATTTTTAGGCGGTCAGATATATATTTCTCAAAATTTATCCATTTTTAAAGTTGGTGATTTTGAGATAATTCTGATGTAATCTCATGTTTAGAAACACGCATTATAACCAGCACCGAGAAGTACGTGTTCCCTAGCTATCACAAAAGCATAACTAACTCATTGGCAAATATTATGGATGAGCACAGTAGCTTCTTACGTACAAGTCTTTTCTTCTAATATAACAAACATTTAGACGCCACTTTGGCATTACAAAATTCACTTAGTTTTGAACTTTAGTTTTAAAAAAGATGCATCTTTCAAGTCATATATATCAAACAGTATTTCTACCAAGTATATTTATATTTATATATATATATATATATAATTAGTCTCTCTATGATCTTCTAAGAACTAAACTCATTTTTTTTCCTCCCCCCTCCCCAATAAGGGATAAGATGATTTCAAACTTCTAAGAAATAATTTAAGAAGTACGTACTAAAGTACCTTCAACTTTTCTACATGAAATGCTGGGTTGATAATTTTTCGATGTTTAGCCCATTTCTCACCCTCATAACTTGCAAGACCAGTAGCTAGCAGCTCTACAAGTGGATTGTTATGGGGCTTTGGGAAATCACCAATTTTGTTGAAAATATCCTTCAGATGTTCTGGGTTCGTAATGTTCACTCTTGGGTTGGGACCAATCCACATGAAAGAATCTTTACCTGCAATATAATATCCAACATCCATATGATCATATTCAAACTGTTAAAAGCCATTGTAGTTCGCACCAGTTTTTATTTCTCTCATACTAATGACCGCACAACTAATTTTCAACTTTCACTTAAACTTGGCAAGCTAATTAAGAAAATTATATCCCAAAGATAAAGAGTATAATTCTCAACCGTTGAATTTTCGTTAATTTTGTGACTTAATAGTACTTTTTTTTTTTTTTTTTCCTTTTTCATTTGGATCATCAAGAGCAAAGAAATACCATATAAATGTGCACCATATAGATGTGGGGTACTGCACTAGAAGAATTTGATGAGCATTTACTGCCCAACCTGAAACCGGAAAGCTAAAAGCTTTCCGCTTATTGAACAAGGTTTTATGGTCAATCTGCGACCCCTGGGTGCCGAATATCACTGTTTGGCCACCGCTTTGTGTGGAATACAAGTACCTTATTTTGATAATTTCGTCAAAAAGGCTCGATATTTTAAAGGGAAGAAAGTTCAAATACCAGGAAAGAAAAAGAGAATAAAACGTAACATATGTGCGTCTTTGGAACTGTTTTTAAAAATAATTTTCACGAATTTTGAGAAGTAAAAAATGAAAAAAAAATGCAATAATTTTTGGACGCGTTTGAAATTCATTCCAAAATGATTTTATTTTTTATTTTTCATTTCTCTCTCATTTTTTACGCTAAATCAAAAAATCATTTTCATTTCCGTTTTTTATCTTTATTGCGCCAAACACAGTTTTGAAAACATTTTCATTTTTTCTTTCTCGAAAAATGTGAAAAATAAAAACGAGATCAATTCCAAACACGGTTCTAGCAAATGTTTTGAAAACGAAAACAGTGAGAATAATTTTCGTGAAGGAATTATAAAACGGTTGAAAGTTGTTTTCATTTTTTTATTTTTATTTTTAGTACTTATCAATAATATTATAATATATTAATTAATAAACACGATTTTAATTTTTTATTATACTCAAAACAATCTCTTAAAAAACTAACCAAACACAATTTCAGAAACGGTCAAAAAATGATTCTTAATACAATCTCATTTTTATTTTTTATTAAAAACAAAATCATTTTAAAACCAATTCTAAACACACTAAGAATGATTTTTGTGAAGAAAGTAGAAAACGATTGAAAGTTGTTTTCCCTTTTCCTTTTTTCATTTTCTAGTACTTAACAACAATCTTATATTAAATAATTAATAATTAATTACTAATTATATTATTACTATTAAGTTTTTAATTTTATTAATAAAATAATAAATAATATAGTAATTATTTATTTGTTTAATGATTAATTTCCAAAAATTAATTACATAACATATTAACAATAAAATAAGTAATAATAGGTAATTAAATAAATAATAATTAATTAATATATCAATCATATATTATGTTAATTATAATCTATTAATTAGTAAATAGTTGGTAAATAAAAAATAAATAGTAATTACTCAATTAATAATTAATATTAAATTATAATTATCAATATGTAATATACTAATCAATAATAATTAATAATTGATAATTAGTAATTAATAATTATAAAAAGAATAATTACCAAAAATTAATAATGTGATATATCAAATAATAGATTATTAAATAAACATTAGTAATTAATTAATTAATTAATTATGTAACTAAAAGTTAGTAATTTAAGTAGTAAACAGAATATTAATAAATAATGTATATACTAATTATTTTTCTTAATACACTAATTAATTACTTATAATCTAATATATATGAGTACATTACTAACACAGTAATTATTTATAATTAATTACTAATTACTATTTTTTACTTATTTAGCATATTAATTTATTATATATATAGTTTAATTACTAATGTACTCATTAATAATAACTTATTCATTATTGTATTATTAATATATAAATTTTTATTTGCTAAATAATTATCAATTATTAATTATTTAATATATTAATTTAAGATTATTAATTACATGTATTCAAAACAAACATAAATATAACCAAATACGATTTTAATTTTTTATCATACTCACCAATCTTCTGAAAGACCAAAAAACGTAATTTCAGAATCAGTTCCAAAATAATTTTTAAAACAATTTTATTTTTATTTTTATATCGAAAATAAAACTATTTTAAAAATATTACTAAATAAGCTCTAGATTTTTGGGCAGAAAAGGACAGTACGGATGTAGTTTAAAACCGTCACAACTACCTCAACATCATATCAAACTGATCATTTAAGTGAATTTATAAAAAAAATTGACAGTTAAAATCCATGTCATATTAGTGCATCTTTCCTTATTCTACCACGAAATTCTCAACATAACTAGTGAGAATTAGTTCAACTTGTGCGATGACAGGGATAACCACTAAGAACTACTGAGAATTAGTTGTCAAATTATGTACCACAATTTGAACAAGAAGATTTCTACTTTGTTACTATCAATAGGAACTCCTACCTTACCTGTTGGATTAACTTTCAACGACCTGATTTAGGGGTTAAAAATTTACAGGCACAAATGATTTATAGATTTAACTGTTGAAAAATGATTTTTAACTACTAAAACAACAATATCTAACGGCGAGGGCAGAGCCAAGCCTTTCCTGAGGATAGGCGATCACTCCATCTGAACTTTTTCCCTTTTAGTGTCGTGTTTGTTTGTATTTTATTAAACTTCGTAGTTGCCTCCTAAACTTATGAAATTACATATATCTGTCCCCTTAAAATCTGAAAATTACATATCCATCCCTCCTCACTTGTTTTCTGACTGATCCGCCCTTGTGACTATCGCTAGTGATCGATCCCTTGGAACAAAGGTGATGTAACTTAATTTTATAAACAAGCCGATATATGTACATACATACCGTACTTCTGGACTGTCTGAAGAACGAAGGGGAAAACGCGTGTGGTTATGTCGTCAGAGAGATTGATGGGTTTCGACCTTGCTTCCTTGTACATCGAAATACTCTCCTTCAAGTCTCCAAACAAAAAACGATAAGAATTGCCCTTAAGACCCTGCTTTCTAAGGCACTTTTCTAGCCTCTTCGGCCTCAGCCAAACCCAGTTCACAACTCTCCATACCCATGTCGTTATGAGTATTATTGCAAACAGAACACTAGAGAATCTAAGAAACGACACTTCCATTGTTGCAGAAAGCCAAAAAAAAAAAAAAAAAGGGAGAGTTTTGGGTTTTCTATCTGTGGCGGAGAGAGAGAGAGAGAGAGAGAGAGAGTGAGTGAGAGAGTCTTGTGGGTTTTCTATATGTGGCGGAGGGAACTTTTATTTATAGTCGACTTGATCAGATAGAAGGACCGCCATTCATCTAGAAGCCAAGATTTATAGAAGAAAGCGACATAAATACTGTGCTCAGATTTCTGTCTTTAATTATGATGTGTAACATAAATTTTTTAGGAGCTTCTCCAGTAGTAAAGACAAGAAGTATAAATTATCAGTAATTTTTTTTTATAGTTAAATTTATATTAAAAAATATTTATTTTATATATTTATTTAATTTGATATAATTTTAATATAATTTAATCATTAAAAATTAATATTATCAGTGGGAACTATTCTATAAGAGAAATTTCTTTATTTCTTTCCTTTTCTATCCTTAAGACCAAAAAAAAAAAAAAAAAAAATCTCACAGTGTCCTTGTACTTTAGATTTATTCCTACTTTCTCCCTTAAATTTAGAAAACTCTAACTTTGTCACTTAAATTTTGAATTCGTCCCATTTAAAATTTTTTGTAAGAATTTTTGGTAAAATCATAGGAAAAAAAGAGGTTAAGTGTGATCATATAGTTTTTATCTGTATGTTTTTAACATAAATTCAAACAAAAAAATCACATGACTGCATTATTCTCTTCTTTTCTTCTTCTATATGTTTTTAATAGAAAATAAAACATAATGGTTAAGTTGGAAAAATTCAAAATTTAAGAGGAAAAGTGAAAGTTTTTAAAGTTCATGAGACAATTAAAAATGATCTTAAAATTTAAGAGCACCGGTGATAATAATTTAAATAAAAAGGAAAAATTCTACTCTAACTACGTAGTGCTTGGTGTGCTTAGCCTTAGCATCAATTTAGAATATGGGTTTTTTTTTTTCATTTTTATTATAACTGTATTTTTTAAATAATTTTTACCTATATATTCGGGTTATAAAAAAAACATATATGTACATACTAACGAGTTTTCATTGGTTACGTTTCAATTGATTGTGACCCATCAAATATAGACATTTGATGATGTGACATGATAAAAATCTAATTTCGTTAATTGTCATAAATTTATTTAGTCAATTCTCTAATTTATTACAACAGTTATACCAATATCTTGCAATGAAAAATAATGATACCTACTTATGAGTAAAAATTGGAGTAAAACTTTACCTATACGTAATTCATACCTTTTCCCAACAGTTGGACCATGAGGAAAACCTAAATTTCCTAAAACTAAAATGAAAGAAAAATGAAAACATAAAAAAATTAAAATTCCAAAATGTGAAGAACATTTTGTCTTTGTCATAATTAAAATTAAAGTTTAATCGAAAAATCATAAGGATTTAACATGAATATGAATTTGAATGTAAAAATATGAGTGTAATATAGTTCAAAATGTAAGGTATATATATGGGTATATATATATATATATATATTGATAGCATCAAAATACAGGGTATTAAAATGAGAAAAACTCATTTAGAATGTTTTCTTTCTATTTCTGACTTTTTTCAGTATGCACTGGTTCTAAAAGTCATTTATTAATTTAAGACAAAATGCTACATATTTTGATTTGGATTGAGTGGGAATGTGAGACGTAAATGGATAACTTAAAATAGAATAATGCATTTCTTTTTTATTTTAATTCTTTTTTTTTTCAATTTTCTTTTTAACTTTATTACAACATGCTTTTTTTTTAAAATACTTTGTCCCTTAATTTATTGTATTAAAACAATTTTTTTAAGTATCTCCTTACTTAATTCTTTATTATTATTATTTTCTACTTTCTCTTAGTTGAAATAATTTCTTTCAATTATGTTCCTATTTGAGGTTTTTTTTTTGTACTTTATAATTTGAATTCTTTTTTTGTTTTTAACTTTTTCTCATTTTATCTTTATCTTTTTTTAATACTTTTTTTTTTGTTATTTTTCTTCTTTGTTTTTGCCAATTGTCTTTTTAATTGCTCATTTTTTATAATATCATTCTTTAAAATATTTTCTTTTTTATCACTTCTTTTAATTAAAATAAAACCTTTGAAATATGTCTTTACTTAACTTTTTTTAGTCAAAATTTCTTATATAACTTTAAATCTTTTTCGAATTGACTCATTTAAATACTTTTTTTTTTCTCTTTCTCCAATTAATGAACTTATTTTCTAAAAAGGTTATCTTAAGGCGAGATCCAACTTATAAAATTATTGTCATCTGAATCCATTTAATATGTACTATAGGAACGACGTAGTTTTCCCACAAAACAAAGGAAGAAAGAAATCTCAAGTCTCATCAGAAATGAATCTGAAATCCATGACGCCATGACTAGTTAAGTGACACATGAATCCTAGATAGGAAGCTTGTATGAAATGATTAATGTGTAGCGTTTGGTAATTTGGGCAGTATTAGAAACGTTAAAAAAAGTGAGGTAAGCTATGACGCATATGAAAGCGTAAATCTTGTTTTGTTTTTTTGTGTATTTTATTTTATATTGCTGACTTTTGCGGTTTGTCCCAATAAATGACACGTGTTTTTCGAATAAGCCATAAAGATAAGTACGCATTGGTTGAAAATTAGAAGATGTTATGCGCCCGTTTAGTTTATTAATTTAAATTTTTAATTTGAATTAAGATATGATTTTATGTGAGAATTTTTTACTATAGTAAAAAAATTAAGTGTGACTGTTTCAAAGAGCTTTTTACTGTAGCAAAACTCAAATTCTAAACTCGAATCGGTAAAATGAACGAGGCCTATATTAGAGTCTGCTTAGGCTAATTCTGTTTATTTTATATATTTAAATTTAAATTATTAATTTTGTTATATATTTTTTTTATAAAAAATTTAAATTTTAAACGTCAAAATTAAAAATTATAATTTAAGTATATTTTCTAATCAGCCTCTTAACCTTTACTCGTTTTACTATTCATATTACAATTTAATTCTTTTATTGTAATATTTTCTTTTTAAAAAATTTAAGTTCAATATTTTCTATTACATTATTCCTCTCAAATCAATAAGTTTACTTCAAATGCGTAAAGTGAATTAAACATTTTTTTTTCGAGTGTCACATCGTCACATGTAAATAATACTCAACTATGTTTTGCAGGTGTATTATATGTCTTACGTTTTGCAAAATATTTGTTTTGTTTCTATAGGAGAATATATGATAAAGTATAAATTGGAATACGATTTCTAATCATAAGGTCATATCATCATCATCATTTCAATTTTGCTTTTTAATATGACATTTTCACGATAAATTTATTATATGATAAAGTATGATAATGTAATAGAATGAAAGATCTGAAGGTTATATTTATATTATAGGCACAATAATTTTTTTTTTTCCATACCCATTGGATGCTAAATAAGGTGGAAAAGTAGCCAAGCTGAGGAAGATAATGTAGGAATAATTAAATCTTAATCCTTTTCATTTTTTAATATATATAGCTATATAATTAATTATAGAAATGGTCTCCAATCCGGCACCAGATTGGAGCGACACATGTATATTTTCTTTAAAAACACGTATATTTCATCTTAAAATATGTATAATGTGGGGAGACACCTATAATTTGTCTAAATACCTATATATATATATTTGAAGATGAAATATACATATTTTTAAAAGAAATATACATGCACTGTTTCAATTCGGTACCGGATTGGAGACTTTAACTATAATTATATATTCTTCATATTTATAGTTTTATGAACACCTTGAATTTGATAATGCAAAGCTGTATGATCAAGGCACGGAGAGAAGAATTAAGTCACGTAGTGACGGAAGCAGGATTTAATAGTAGGGTATTTTTATATTAAAATTATACTAATATGTATATATATATATATATGTATATAACAGTTTTTGTTTATTAAATTAATTCATGAAATATTGACAAATGAAAAAATTAATATTGTATTTAAATAAGAAAACATATCACTGTCACTTATATAAAAAGTGACAATATCAATTTTTTCAATTTCAATTCTTTGAACCTTTTTGGATGCTTCGAAATTAAATTTTCAGAATTTGAAATAGATAATTAACCATCATCTTCAAATTGTTTGAACTTGAATATATTTTCTTTTTCAAAAAATACATCAATTGTTAGCTTTCCAATGAGGAATAGTGATTCAGAAGTTAAAATAGATTTTAAGAGCTCATATAAACTACACTATATAAATCTAGTAAACTATATATGTCATTATGCCAACTTCGATATTGAAATAGATGGGAAAAAATTAAGATTATAAATGGGTTAGTATTTTGAATTTTGAAGTACCAATCACTAATTTGTAATAAATGAAATTTTTTTTTCCTAAATTAGACATTAAAATAGAAGGGGAAAAAATTAAGATTATAAAGGGAAAAAAATAAAAAAAAGAAGAAAAAAAGAAGAAAAAATAAAATCTAACCTTGAATAATAGAGTAAATTTCTAAACTTCTTTTAATCTTTAATTTTGATTTTTCAAACAGTTTGGATATAACCTTCACTCACCAAAGTGTTGAGTCAAAGATTAAAAAAGAGTTCAGATATAACTTACAACTTATAAGCGTGGGTGGTGGGTATTAATTTACAAAAAAGAGTTTGGATAAAATTACCTTCAATAGATGGAAAAGAAATTTGAATAGTGTCGATGCGTGCTTGAATAATGTTGTGATTCATTGATATAATGATATTCTGGATATTTATTTGAGAATCAAAAAATTTAAGAGTTACTTCCCTCGTAAGTATAGACAAAATATTACCTTAGTATAAATGGGCTAGTATTTTGATTGGGCTATTAAAATTGTTAGATTTTGGGACAAGCCACTAGGCATACTAATGTTTATAGATTTAATAAAATTAAATATTTTAAACAAAATAGTAAACATTTATAGATTTATAGTGTTATGAGTAGACATTTTATGTGTATAACTCTTTTATTTTTTAAACTCATAATAGTTGACTTAATATAATATAGAGAACTATTAATTTAAGAGGAGTCAAGTCTAATTTATACACATACTTATTATAGTA